CTTTTGGACCACAGGCCATTGGGTTTAGGTGGCAAGTAGTGTTTTTTTTATTTTTGAAGATTTTTTTAATATAAAAAGAGGGACATTTGTCATGCATTTGGAACCAAAAATATGTCAACTTGTCAGAAAATGTATTTAACATAGTATAAAAGTCTATAATGAATACCAACAAATATTTTGCACATATTCTTTCTTGAGATCCAATGGACCCCGAAAGACCATCTACGTATGGAAACAAGAAAGTCCTGAATAGGGTTTAGCAAACAAGTTGCACCACGTACGTATGCGTGGACAGTTTTAGCCAAATAATGAACCGACTGCCTTAAATAAAACAGATTTTTTTTTAGAGCAATACAAAAACATTATACTTTCACCATAGGAAGCCCATGTGTAGTACAGCAGGGATCTCCAACTCCGGTCCTCCTGAGCTACTGTCCTGCAGGTTTTGGACGTTTCCGTACTAATGGATCATTAACAGACTTGTCTAGAACTTGACAACAAGCTGTTGGAGATCCATTAATTTGAGTCAGGCGTTTTGCAGTACGGAAACCTCTAAAACCTGCAGGACAGTAGCTCAGGAGAACCGGAGTTGGAGATCCCTGTAGTAGGTGATCTGATTAGATTAGATTATTCCTTGCGGCAGAGATTTAAATATTAATAATCTAATAATGTGAAATTTCAGTCTTATTTTCTAGATGTCAAACTCCTTGTTCTTTGTTTGTAAGTGTTCGACTGTTGCTGAGCTGGTAGCACTACAAAAGACCATTCAGATGTCTGGTGTTTGTGATAATACAAAAGTAATTGTACACATTTTTACTCACAGTAATGGGAAAGTTATGCTGTTGCACCCTTGTTTTTTATTTTTCTAGTTTGTCAGTGTCAGTCAAAAGAATTATTACAGTGTTTGGAGTATTTTTGAAAATGGCATCAACCTCTTGTTTCAGGTTGGGTCTTACCACTTCGCTCACTCGTTTGTTCGAGGAAACTGGAGGAACGAAGCAGAGAGCTCTTTTGCTCTTTTGGCCAAATCGTGCCATGACATTGACCTAATACATCACTGGGCCGGAGCACGCAGGTAAACCATCAGACAGCAGTCAATGATGAACTCCAGGCTTTGTTTGGTGTTCAGAGATAAGATTCTAAAAAAAACTGTTCTGCAACAATGTGGTTGTTTAGCCATGACATAAGGTGTATTGATTGTTTGGATGCACAGTCCACTTAATGCCAACAGAAACTCACCCTTACCCTGGTTTAACTGGGCCACATGTAAACAGAGATGTTTGCTGAGTGTCCTTTTTGTTTTTCTGTGGATACATCATTAACATGGCAGTTTGTACTTGGCAGGTGTGTGAAAGTGTCATCGTTTGGATCAGTCAGCCATTTCCAAAAAAAACACAAGGTACGTAGTTTGTTCCATCATCACTTTTACACAAGGAATCAGAACAGTTTTTAGTTTTGGGAGTGAAACTGACAAAAAAATTCTTTATGTATAAAAGGACTTGACTCCTTATTCAGAATCATTTTTGTAGCTGAATCTATGCACTTGCATGATTATAAAATGTGACATTCCTATTTTTTGTCAGCCAACAGGTGCTGCAGATCGCTGCCTCGACTGTCCAATAGAAAAAGAATGTCCGTACTCAGCATGCAAAATCTACCTGGACAAAGTGAAACGGGTAAACACAGAATTTTCACCACCTGTGCACTACACCGCATTTCTTTGCTTCTTGTACACACTTTTATATCTACTGTATGTGTGTATCTATGCGTGTTAGGGTCACACCGGCTGGCCAGTAAATGTCATCTGCCCGAGCTCACTCCCAGACATCGAGTCAGTAACTGAGGCACTGAGGACTGGACCATATGGCCGCTGTGTCTACGAGTGTGACAACGATGTCTGCAGTAATCAGGTTAGACAACACAGGCTTTGTACCTCACTCAAGACTTTTCTCCACGGCACAATGTACAGCTCTGTCCTTTTTTTCTAACCCATGAAGCTTCATTCTTACTTTAGTTAAACTCATGAAATGTTTGATATCTGTACCCATGGTGGTATCAAATAATAATTTCAGCAAATATAGAATAAACGGACACTGAAACAGTTAAGCATCATTTAGCAAACACTGTTTTGCACCTTCCAAAAGGCTGACAAATAATCCTGTATTTGTTTTGGATTAACGTATGCTATGTTGCCTTGCTGCACATTAATTATACAATATTTATGGGTTAAATCTTATCAAGCATTTTCATTCTTTCCAGAAATAGATTTAGTAACTGAAAATTCATAACTGGCTTATTCACAGTTAGAAGCCTAAACTTTTGCCCGTTTGTTCCTGTTTACGTGTTCTGTTTGTGCAGGTGGTTAACATGGAGTTTGAAGGTGGTCTGACAGCAGCTTTTTCCATGGTGGCGTTCACTGAGGAGACTTGCATGCGAAAAACAACCATCTACGGCAGCAAGGTAGGACTGTGAGGAACGTGGATGGCAGAAAATGAAAAGGGACACGCAGAAAAATGTCAACTTGAAATCCATGAAATCTTGTCCCTCAGAAAGCAAGTTAATTCTTTGTGAACAAGAGTGTGAAAAGAATGGGGTCATGATGTCAAAATCACGTCATAGTAGTTTTGACCACATGCACTAGGTGGCCAAGTGCATGCCAAAACATTGTACCCATATGTACCTTAACTGTTGACGATGCCATTCTGAAATTGTGGTGAGCAACAATATGCTGCTTCAACAAACAAGCCAATAATAACTATTCAGGGACGGCTTTCAGCAGGACTTAGAAATGTGGCTCCAGACATTTGTTCCTTTTAAGCCACAAGAGTAAAGTAAGGCATAGAAGTTGGGCGATAAAGTTCCAGTCATTAGTCCTTCCCCAAACTGTCGCCACAATGTTGGAAGCAAAGGACAACATAAGATCTCCAACAACCTTTGGCTGTATTAGTATGCATTCACATTGATAATGTTGTAAAATCAAATATGATGTTATCACCTGTTTAAAGAAATAATGCTGTCACTGGAATAAGTGGTATAGTACAATGCCTTAGCTTCTTCTGAGACGGAACATCAGTTGTAACAAAAGTTTACGTACACTTGTAAAGACCATCTATATCATGTCAGTCTTGAGTTTTCTAAGACTTCTATAACACTTCATTTTCTATGATGGAACCATTGAAACACAGTTCACATATTTGCCAAACACATTATAAGACAAAATCATACAGCAACTTTAATTAGCAGTTTAGGGGATGTAGAAAGCTGCATTATTCTGATTTTCTTAGTGGCATGACCTCTTAACTTCTCATGAGTGACTACAATTGACTGCTGCTGCTTACCTGCTCTTATTAGCCACGAGCACTCCAGTGTGAAACCCTGAGGAGCTCAACAAAGATCTGGAAAAGCTCAGAATTGTCTTGAACAATCAGGAAAGTCACTTGGAGCCTTTTCAAAGCAGCTACAGATCCCAAAATCAATTGTTTCTAAGTACAAAGTGCATGGTACAGTTGTGTCGCTGCCACGATCAGGAAGAAAACACAAACTATCACCTGCTGCTGAGAGACAGTTGGTCAGGATGATCCAGAAGGAAGCTCTTCCTCCAGAAGCAGCACCTTAAGGCTCAACTACAGTTTGCTGCCGAAACCATGGACAAAGAAGAGGCCTTCTGGTGAAAAATTCTGTGGTCAAATGAAACAAAAATAGAGCTATATGGCCACAATGACCAGAAACATGTTTGGAGGAGACAAGGTGAGCACCCAGCAGATTTAGTCATGTTTCCAGAAGATCTTTAATAAATCTATGAAAGAACCAAAATGCACGATTGTTTTTTTTGTGACGAAGATTCATAGGTTTCAATGATTCCATCATAGAAAATTCAGAGTTATTGGAGTCATTGGAGATTCAAGACTGCAATGATATAGACGGTCTTTACAACAGTGTGGAAATTTCACAACCTTATTTGTAGTCTAATGAACTGTGTCTTCACAGGGAGAGCTGTCATACGATGGCCATGAGATTCGTGTGTTCGACTTTCTGACCCAGAGATCCACAAAGCACACAGCAGACAGTAAAGCTCACCAGACGTTCGGCATGAGTGGACACGGTGGAGCCGACTACCACCTTATAAAAGCCTTTATTTCTGCTGTGGCGGTGAGTTCTTGCAAGTACTATACACTTTTTTATTTGAGCGATGGATAGTTTCCGTTGAGCTTTTTTTTCTTGACCGTCTTTAGAATTAGTTTATTTGATTGTTGCAGTATATGAGGAGGTTTTATGTGAGTCAGGACCTTTTGTGGACAGTCGTTTGTGATGAATACAGTTATTACCATTATTTTCAGGGACGGCACTGACACGGGGTTTGAGGGATGGATATATCATATGTATGTGGTGTTTGCTTTTGTGAATGCAGAAAAACGATCCGTCCCTGATTCGATCGGGTCCTGAGGATACGTTGCTGAGCCATTTGCTGGTGTTTGAAGCAGAGCGCTCGCGACTGGAGGGCAGGGTGGTGTACTGTGAGGACAGTAACCAGAGCTAGAAGACTGCCAAACACTGTGAGCATGTTAGCTCCCCTTATAACCAAAACTTTAATGCCATCCAAGTGATTGAAGATGCTTTTAAACTGATAGATGAAGGAACAAATCTGGAGGGCAGGGTGGTGTACTGTGAGGACAGTAACCAGAGCTAGAGGACTGCCAAACATTCTGAGCATGTTAGCTCACCTTAAAACAAACACTATGATGATATCCAAATGATTGAAGATGCTTTTAAACTGATAGATGAAGGAACAAATCTTGTGTAGTCATGTAATCATTTCAGTGCTGTCAGTGTACTGTCAATAACTTCATGATCAGTTGATTAGTCATGTTGTTATCACTGCTTGAGAAACTTTCTGTAAATATTCATGCCAGTTGATCTTTCACTCCAAACAGATTCTTGAAATGCTCAGGGCTTAAACAACTCCTGTTTAACTACTGTATGAATAAATTGCTTATTTTCCACTATTCGAGAGTGGCATTATTTAACTGAAGTTATTTTATTGACTGTAAGTGCCATTTACTTAGAGCAAATTCACATAAACATACAATACATATAGACATAGTGCCTCTAAAAGTACCTTGTAGTAAAATATTATACCTTGGTCCAATTAATTTGTCGTTTATTCACAAGAATTTACAAGAAAAGTCTCTTTCATGTCAAAGGGAAAACTGATGTCTACAAAGTAATGTCAATTTATGAAAACAGTAAACGTAAAACAAGTGACTGCTTGAGAATTCACCCACTTCCATTGAGTATTTGATAGTACCGTAATTTCCGGACTATTGAGCGCACCTGAATATAAGTCGCACCCACTAACTTTAAAAAGAAAAAAAAAAAGTACATATATAGGCCGCAGGTGTCCATGTTGTAACATGAGATAGTTACACAGAAAGATTTTTAAAACTTTTAATTAAATACCTACCAGTAACATACACAAATACCATAAATGCTTTTTTCCGAACAGTGCCTGTAACACGGCTGGTTACGAAAATAAAAAACACAGTTGGCTACCAGGAAAAGTCATTGATCGCTATCTTCATCTTCCTCCTGCGCACTAAAACCACTAAAGTTCTTCAGTGTCGGAGTTGAACAGCCTCAGAATTACTTCGTCACACACTTCCTCAGTCTCTCTTTCGTTGTCGCTCTCAATGTCACTTTCGTCTCGAGGCAAATTCGTAAAAATCCATAAATTAGCTGCATCATTGTTTAAGCTGCAGGGTTCAAAGCGTGTTAGAAAAGTAGCGTCTTATATTCCAGAAATGATTGTAGTAATAGTAGTTAATGCACCTTTGACTGCAGTTACAGCATTGAGCCTGTGTCACTAGGTGTCAGTCAGCCTGGCACAGCACATTCTGCCACATTCTTCTTTGGAAACTGCTCAAGTTCTGTCAGGTTGCACAGGGATCAGGATTAAATAGTCCTATTCAAGTTCGCCTTCAAATTGTCTATTGGATTGAGGTCTTGGTTCTGACTCCAGAACATTCACCTTGTTGTCTTTAAACCATTTCTGGGTAGCGTTGGCTGTTTTTTTCTTCAGGTTATTGGCTTGCTAGAAAACAAATCTTCCCCCAAAGTTGCGGTTCTCTTGCAGACTGCATCAGGTTGTGCTTGGGGGTTTCTCTCGACTTTGCTGCATTCATTTCCCCCTCTACCTTTCCAAGCATTACAGGGCCTGTTGGCAATAAGCATCATGATGCTGCCACCACCATGCTTCACAGTGAGGATGGTGTGCTTGTGATGATGTGTAGTGTTTGTTGTCTGCCAAACATAAAGTCTAAAAAGCACAATTTTGGTCTAATCAGAGCTAAGAACCTTCTTCCAGTTGTCCTATATTTTGCTAGTCAGAATTAAATTACAATACTTTGTCGAAATCTGTTTTTACTTGGACATGAAAGAGTCTTGTTTGTAAAGTCTGGTCCAAAAAAAGCCAAATTAAATGAACCATGAATCATGTTTGAAAAGCAGTAAAAGAGCAATGGGAATTTCCTATCCCCACATATTCTTCTTTTTCACAAATTGGGTTGCTTCAACACCCACCAACATCTTTAAAGAATTTAAAACTCTACACCAGTAGCCATGTGTGGTGGTTCTGCCTTGAGTTTAAACAGCACAGAGGAATCACGGCGGGCTGAAAGATCCCACTATTCACAAAAAGGTGGCGGGTTGTTTCTGTTGGCTTGATTACGCTGGGTCATAACTCTAGATTGTTAATTCACAGTGTTAAATAAAATCATGTGCACTCAGAATAAATAACAGAAAGGCATCAGTTTTTGTTACTCAGTGCTTGTTAGTGAAGAAGTAGCGTCTTTTAAACACAAGGTGGCGCTAGTTTCTTTGATTAGAACGTCACACAGGTGGTTAGAAGACAATCACTGGGGTGACAGCGGTGTGTTGTGGTAAACATTACAACGCTTAGCACCAGAAGATGTCAAAATGCTGTGGAGTATCTGCAATAATTCAGAATATATTAGTAATCATGTAAAAAAAAAAAAAGAAAAGAAAAGAAAAGCCTGTACTGGGGCCACTGTAACAAGCATTAACCATTAATACTTACCTGTACATTACAGCATTTCTTCTTTTAAAATGTTTAAAATGAACAATTTGTCTTTAATCTTTATAATCCAGAATTAGGATCTACTCACTGTGTAGTCTGTTACACATACGATAGAAATCAAGGAAAGATCAATTAACTTTGTGTGAAATAGTTGTAAAAATGGCCTAACTCAGGGCATCAGTGTGAAGTTAAATAACTGTCATTCTTATCTTTAGCCCCCAAAAAGCATCAGATATCACAGTTTTCAGTGCACTCCTGTTGTTGTTTTTACAGTTATTTATGACACCTCTAAGTACTAAACAGGTAATTGCCGTACACACTGTCAGCATGACTCACATTGCATCACAATCAGGTAAGATAGCTCTTCAATTTTATCGCATTCCATCCTGGATGGGAGGTGTCCTTAACTACCCTGTGAGCACAATAATGTCAACAGCAGCGCACAATTCTTGGACCTTGCAACACATCCAGGATGACTAATTCTGGATTGGGTCCCGTAGTCCGTACTCCCAGAAGGATCACGCTGTGTTGATGATGGTTGGACTGTCACAGTTGTAAGACCGTCAAGAAGGGCGTGGAGAGAAAACCGGAGAAATGACGAAACGATTGAATCACTGAGAAACTTTGACCGGGTGCCAGAGTGGGATTACAGCGGCGGTGGAGAATAGGCACTCCTTCGGGCAAAGCTTCATTTTCCACTTGATGTAACCTGCTTGGTGATTCTGTGAGTGGCTTCTGAGCAAACACTTAGTTTCTGACAGAATGAGGACTGATTTTAATGAGCAATGTTTTCTTTTTAAGAGTGACAAGATCAGCCCTGAGGAGTTTCCTGATCCTGAGGTGCAGGTTTAGACGCACACATACATACAAAATGCCACATAGGCTGGCGACGTGCTCCAGGAGACGAGTTTGCAAACTGAGTCAGCAGCTGTATTTCTGAATGACTCAACCGGTCCTCCACAGAGCCCTTTCGTTTCTCAGAGCCCTGCCCTCAACCCTCCCTCACACACTGGCAGGCGCTTTAGTACAACCCTTACCTCACTACAGCATCACTTCCTCCCACTTCACCAGACTACGTCGGCAAATACCAGGCTGCAATCCCAAATTTCCAAGGAAGTAATTGACCTCAGTGATGTTTTTTTTTTTCTCTCTCTCTCTCTCTTCCCTTTTGTTTTGCTTGAAGCTGTATTTTTTCTTTAGTGATGTGACATGTTGTGACGGGTGAGGTGTTGAACTGATGTGCAGAGCTAATAATCCCCTGATCCTCCAGGTCATTTAACTTGCGTGAATCACTGCCAGGAAAGAGACCTCCTACGTCTGCTTTGATTTTTCTACCTGCTTTTCATGCAATTATTTCAGCTGGAGCGGGGCCATTGTTGTCGCGTCACGCCGAGCTTTTCTCCCTTACAAGACAGGCGTGTGTGAACAAGGAAGTGGAGGAAAAAAGGCAAAAGAGGGGAGCAGCAAACTGTAAAACATGGCTCTGCCGGTGACTCAACAGGAAATGATGGAGCGAGAGTAAGTAAGGTGAGAGAGGGAAAAAGAGGAGGAGGGTTGTGGAGTGGGAGGAGAGATCGAGGGAAGAGGGGGGAAAGAAAAGGGGGTTTTGTCATGCCTCAGGAATCGAAGCTATTTTGTAAGGAGAGACAGACTGAGAAGGGTCATGCCCAGCTTTTTTTTTTTTTTTGAGAAATCTGTGGGCTGTTCAGTTCATCATTTCTCCCCCGCCACCCCTGCACAATGAAGTAACAATGCGCAGCCACAATGCAAATAATCAGCAAAGTTACCACACTTGACTCATTTCCGTCCGAAGGATGACCCTGGAATTCGTGTGGTGATTAAAAAAGACTTTGACCTCAAGAACAAGTTGTGAACACCGTGTAAACAACCAAATATTGATTACGTCTGCCTGTCTCCTTTTACCGCAAATAAAAAAAAACATTCAGTATCTCCATGACCTGGTTAGCAGATAGCATTTTGACTCTGATGACGGGAGGATTTTTTGCAGATAGTAGCTGCTGAAAAGAGAACTAATATTAAATAAATTTCCCTTTGGATTTGCCTCGTTTCTCATTTCAGCTTTTAATGAACCGGAGATCAGATTTACAGAGCTGCGGAAGTCCTCCTGCTGGGCCTGCAGACCCGCTGCCCACACTGAGGCCTGAAATCACGGGTAGGGAAGCTGCCCAGGCCTCCAGTTCTGTATCCCGGGCAAAGAATTGCTCTTTTCATGCTCGGATCTCTGCCATTCACTGAAGCTGTCACCATGAAATCAGATGTCACAGGGTTTAAATCACTTTAATCCTTGCCACTTCCTCCATCACTGTTCCTTCTGACTCGGTTTTGTTTCTCTCTGCTGGTACCCTGGGAAAAAACTTTTTTGTTTTTTTCCAGGGATAGCACCACCACACATAAAGCTGTGCGTTTGTATACGTGTGAGTGTGTGTTTTCCACCTCGAATCCATTCATTTTGCTCGCAGCTACAGTTTATTCACAGGACACATTGGCAGTCTGTGACGCCGTTATTGGGTTCACGAAATGCAGTTTAGCATCCGAATAGATTTCACAGAGAGCATGTTCTTTTGTCTCTCCGTGCACTTCCTGAACTGTCCAACAATCAAAGGTACAAACATCACTCTTTCAGTCCGTCCTCCTCTTTCCTCCCGATGGCTGTTGGCTCTTTGATAACTGAGCTGTCTCCTCGCAGGATGAGGTCAAAGGCCGTGGTGCAAAGCCCACTCAGACATTTGAGGAGCCCGATTCCTTCCTGACGCCTCCAACTTGTCAAACCCTGACCGCAGATCCATTAAATTACACACACAGAAAAAAAAAAAAAGATCAAGGGAAGGGTGTGTGTGTGTTTCAAATCACACGTAGTCCCGCAGACAGTAGCATCACGGTTTTAAATGA